GGAGCGGGGACGACGCCGCCGCCGCCGAGAAGAAAAAGTCGGATGGCCTGTGGCTTGGGGCCGAGGCCGCGGCGTACGCGGCAGGGGCGGCAGCCGGGGTGAGTTGTGTTTTACGATCTCGTGCCCTGTTAGGGATCTTCGGTCGGGTGTGCTGGAAAGGCTCTGAGGAGGGCGGTTGTGTGGGGGTGTCGCCGGTGTGTTGAGCCCTCCGTCAAGGCGGGGGTGAGATAGCTCGGGGTGATGGTGGCGGGTAATGGGACTGGGATGGCAATCGACGTTTTCGTGCCGTTGTCGGGCGGGACAAGGGACGTTGCGGCAGGACCTCGAAGGGCACGGCCGGGATGTCTGTTTTTCTCCAGCTTTACCCCCGACGCTGCAATGGACGTTGCGCGACCGGTCTTCACCACCACACCAATCTGGAATGGATGTCCGCTGCACTAGTAGACTGGGGCGGCCCGCGGTCATGCTGACAAGAGCGGCGACGAAAGGAGACTGGCTGATGTCGTAGGTGTACGGTATTGTGGACGAGCTCTTGGGGGGGTTCATGACCGGGGTACAGCTAGATCACCACTGAAAAAACACAGTAGACACCATTAACCCCACACTCGCGCTCATCACCAGGTGGTAATTTTGTGTTCGTTGCCCACACACCCACCCACCCTCCCACAAATCTGACAGTGTTTGCGCGGTTGACAGTCGATTTCAATCCTGCCGAAAAAAGTCATCACGTTGATTTTCATTGCAACTTTTACATTAATGCCCTCCTTCGCACGTACCCTCCCCGAAAATCCGCACTTCAATTTGCAGTTAAATTTACGCCCCCCCCCCGAGTATACCCCCGTTGGTCCGGTGAGAACCCGGCGTGCTCCGTCCCGGCTTGGTAGGGATGCGAGGTCAGTAGTCTAACGACTACGGCATGCACGACTATGAGTACACCCCCCCACCCCCCTTCCCCCCCCCCGTTCTGCACCGCATGAAAAATAAACGGCAAACGCCCAGGCGGCGGCTGGAGCGGCCGGGGCGGCGGCCGGCGTGGCGGCGGAGGTTGCATCCGTGGCGACCGCTGCGACCTTCAACGTGGCCGCACCGTTCCGGAGACTGGACGAGAACTCGGAGGTGTGTGTACGGCGCCGGGGGACAAGAAAGGAAGGACACAAGTAGCGTGTTTAAGCGGGGTTGGTATGGAAGGAGGCGGTGTTGGGTGGTGTAAGCGCGCGCGTATTTGAGCGTGCAACTGCTTAGAGGTAGCCTGGAGAGAAAGAACGCGGGCGGCTGCGGAAGAACATACCTGGAGGGACGTGATTCGATTGGAGGTCTTTGGTGCTGAATTTCTCCTGTCTTGTGTTTTGTGTTGCGTTTTTCTGTGTGATGACGATAGTAAACGGAACGTCGGCCAGCCAGCTCGTTCGTTACTCGCGCGGGTTGACAGCAGGAACAGTGTCATCAAGTATTAGTGGGCAGCCTTAAACACTTGCCTGGTTTGACGGTAGGGAGGGGGAGGCTCTTTGCATTCGGCTTCTTTTGTCTCCCCCGCCCATCGCCATCCTCCGCTACGTAGCGCTTGTCTGCAGACGGTTGTTTGAAACGTTCGTGAAATAGCCATCCTCTGCTGGACGACTCCGACGTTCATGACATTCATTCAATCGTTGCTTGAGTTTCACATCGTTTTCCAACCCCAATATACTTCCATTCACAATCGCTGCTGATATTCCTATCATTTCCAAACCCCAAATACGTTTTATCCCCAATATGTTCTCGTCGCTGGTTGATTTTCTCATCATTTCCATCTCCAATATATTTTTCCGTTCATATCGCTGCTTGATTGTTTCGTGATTCTTTTCCCGACCCCGACAAACCCCCAATAAATATCTGTGTGCACGCAGGACTCGTGGCAGGTGACGGGCAGCTGGAAGAAGGACAAGAACATGAAGGCCGACGAGGACTTCGGCAAGGGCAAGCTAGGGGTTAGGACCAGGAAGATAGACCCGGCCAAGGCGATGGACATGGACCTGGACAAGTTTTCCACCCATATCAAGGTTTGGTTCGAGAGGAGACCTATTTTGTATTTCGTCTAGTAGGCTACCACGAAGATATGTTATGGCCGCAGCAGTAGCAGCAGTAGCAGCAGCAGTTGTGCGTGGAGGCATGGCTCTTCCCGTTTTCCGTGGGGGCCTAATTGTCATGGATGTCGTTGATGTGGTCGCTTATTGTGTTCTGAGGTTGTTCTTTTACGGGGACCCGGCATCCCGGTTGAGTCGAATCGATATGCGGGTCATCCGCGCTCATTTCTGGCGCCAAACAATTCTAAAACACTCTGTAACCCCCCCCCCCCCCCCCCCCCCCCCCCCCCCCCCCCCCCCCCCC